ACTGAATGTTTAATAGTTTTAAGTCTTTTTAATAAGCAATTATTTTTAAGGTTTCAATGAAAACCTTTAAAATAATTTCCCAGCCAAAACTGAAAGAGTAGACTAATAAGCAGATTACACACTTTTCAGGGTTTTCCTGGCCAAAACTAAGATTGTGGTCAGCTTATGATCTATTGGGAATAAATTTCCAAGATCTCAATAATGGCAAGTTACCTAAAGATTATTACCCAGGGTGATAAATCAAGCATCAAGTTAAAATGTAAAAAATGTTTTAAAGAATTTAAATTCGTGGCATAGGTAATGAAAAATAAATAGAATGACAGAATAAAAAGGACTGTATTTACCAGAAGTAAAATGTTGACCAGTCATTGTCCTGGCATGTCATGAGTCCTCCTGCTGGCATCCGTCCATCACAATGTGACGATGGAGTGGGCTTCGTAGGACGAAATCCACATAGCCTGGGATTATTATACTTGAAAGATTATAAGTTGGTTCCCAAAAGCAAATCGCCTCTCTCCACGCCGCTGGATAACCCAAGGGGTCATCATTGGATGATACAGCTTGGCACCAGTGACGTCGCAGGAGTTGTCGGAATGTTTCATTGTATCAATGTTATCCACCTTTCGGGACTCCATCTCCGGGTTTGATTTCAGAGTTTCCTTCTCTTAGATGAGTTGCCGTCCAAGGTTAGCGAGTCCCATCTACCCGGGGTGCTGGTGGTGTTTTTGCTCTAGCTGGAATTGAACTCCAGACCACCAACTTGAGATTTAAGTTTAGACCACTCGGCCACCCAGCACCCTGAATCCTCCTGCACATTCATCATAAGAGCAGCTGTGAATTCTGGCAGTGATGAGGGTCTTCAAGTGATCTCTGTGAAAACAACAACTTTAAGCTGGAAGTAAAATAATACATGAATTAGTAGAAGACAGAAACTTTATTATATTAGAGTGAAAGCTTGCATTAATATGAAGACAATATCCTATGAACAATTTTAACCTGAAAGTTACCACCATAAAAAGTACCCAAAAAATTAATCACACACTTGATGTAATCATTGCTTTTACACCAGCCATGTTTACATGGGTGTTTCGACAAAAAATTTCTGGTTCTCTAAGGGAAAGTTGAATAGCTTTGTTTATTTAATCTATTAAATAGTCCAACCACTATTGGAATTAGGGAGGTGGTGTTAAATGAACAAAAGAAAGTCTTCAAAATGGTCATGTCAAGCTCAGTGCAAGATTTTAACTACAACCGCATTACCGTAGTGAATCTTTAAAAATTTAAATAAGTTTTTTTGTCACAGATCAATGGTAATATAATCCTAACCTGCAAGATGTAACTCTTGGTTATAACTACTATCATTTTAAACCAAAAATGTATGCTATAGCGACAGATGAATCTAAATATAAGAAGCAATCCATCTTTATGGCTCTTTTGCATTTTTTAATTATTTCTTTTACAGCAAAAATGCACTCAATATGTCAGAAGGAAATTTAGATTTTTTAGGGATTTTTATCTAATTTTAACTAAATAAGGAATGTGCAAGACTTTACCCTAACCTAATCAGTGAAACTAACCATTCCAATACAGTCTTTTGATATTTCTTACATACACTAGCGGGATTTATCTTTATATAAAGTGCATTCAAAGGATCAAGATACTAATATTTATTATTGGAAGGGGGGTTAGGATGATGCTAGGTGTTAAGAGAAAATGTAAAGATATGTGTTTATTATGGACACTAGCGGGATTTATCTTTATATAAAGTGCATTCAAAGGATCAAGATACTAATATTTATTATTGGAAGGGGGGTTAGGATGATGCTAGGTGTTAAGAGAAAATGTAAAGATATGTGTTTATTATGGCATGTAATTGACTAGGACAGAGGCTCCCAGACTGTGTCCTGCTGCAACCTGAAGTGTTAACAAAATTAATGGACTTAATGCAAGCCATTTATAATTAAGTTGGTATTTTTCACTAGTTCTCCAACCTACTTGGTACTCTGTACTTATTAAAGTAGCAGTTGGTTTTGTGCAGCGTCTATAAATTGTTTTGATAGAGTCAAGTTATTGAGGTATGTCTTCTTGTATAAGTATAAGGTTTCAAAAATGATTAGATTGTTTAAAAAGTGCGATTTTACAGTGCACAAAGAATGTGGCTTAGAGCAAAATTGAAAAGACGTGGGTGCAGCAACGGTGCTGTGACTCTAAAACGCGTGGGAAACTCTGGACTAGGATATTTGAAATTCATGTACTAGCAGCATTGCTGGTAGGAGAACTGGTCACCCGAAAGCTTTTTCGTTAACCCTCTTGGGACGTAACCCTCTTGATCTCTCGCTGTCTAGCAGGGAATCTGACACTGACGAAAAAAATCAGGAAAGTAATGAAGACAATCAAAATGATTATGTTTACGATAATGTTGTGAATCCTTGGATTAGGGATTCTGAATTGGATGGCGATGACCCCTATGAATTTTTAGAAAAAATAGAGCCTTTAAATATGCCTCATGGGATAAGCACCCCATTTGAGTACTTATGCTAATTTTTACACAATATATCATTAAAATGTTTGTGAGAGAGAATAATAATAATAACTAATAAGTATGCAGACAACTTTCTTAGATAAATATGCCTCATGGGATAAGCACCCCATTTGAGTACTTATGCTAATTTTTACACAATATATCATTAAAATGTTTGTGAGAGAGAATAATAATAATAACTAATAAGTATGCAGACAACTTTCTTAGTAACACCCAGCTCAAATAAACCATAATTGGATGCACAATGGTGAAAAGGATCGCTCTGTCTGAAGCAACCGAAAAGTACCCCGAGGGCAGGAAAAGGAGTAGAACTCTGTCCCAAAACACATGTGTTAGGATCCATTTATGCTTCATCCATAAAAAAATTCACATAATTTACACCGGTAAGTCATGTTTATTCTCAGTTCAAATCGACAAGTCTGTTTACATGCAGAAAAAATCATGTCGGGCGAGTTTTGTCACAACAATGGGTCTCTGGAGGCATTTGTCAGGAGATTAGGGAGTGTTTCACGTTTTGTGTACAAGATAGATCAGCAGCTACACATTACACTTGACTTATGCCAATAATCATAGGGCACATCCTGCTGGGCACAACAGTCATGTCAGATCAATGGAGAGCATATTATGCAATCGGCACCACTCTGGGATTGACTCATCAAGCGGTCATTCATTCTGTTAAGTTTTTGGATCCAAACTCAGGTGCCAATAGCCAATACCCAAAGCATGGAACGTTTGTGGAAATCTGCATAAGTATAAGAGAGAAACAATCGCCACAACGGCACACACAGACATATGCTCGATTTGTATATGTGTGAGTTCATGTGGCGTCAACGTGTTTAAGTAAATGGTTTTTATGTCTTCAACGCCATTCTAGACGATATTGTTCAATTTTGGCCACTACAGTAGCGGAGGACCTTTAAAGAAGTAAGTATGTTTTTATTCAAAATAACATTTGTTTTATTGGAAGTGTGAAGTGTTTTAATGGAAATAATGTATAATAATTTTTGAATTAAAAGTTTTTTAAGCTAATTCTGATTGATCATACATTTTAGGGTTCATGTTAGGTTTAGGGATACATTTAGGGTTCAGGTTAGGTTTAGGTATACATTTAGGACATAAGTTCGTGGGTCACGATAACCAAGATGGCGGCCGCGGGCTGATCTATCCGAATTGTTTTTTAATCAAAAGAACATTTGTTTTATGGGAAGTGTGAATAATCATAATTTTTTAGGTGAATTAAAATTGAAGTATCAACTTCTGAAACCGGGTCCGAATAGCCGCAGCCAAACTTTTTATTACAATTACAGATAAGACAGTAGCCGATTTGCCGCCAAAAAAAACAAAGAAACAATAACAAAGGAACTTTGATCTTGAATCTTGATTGATGTTAATGATTATGGAACTATCTTTAAAATAGAATTAAAAAATACAATAAATTTATAAACATAAACGTATTCTTACTTGCTTTTAGCTCTAGGTCACATTGTTGTTCGTGTTTCTTGAAAGCTATATGAAAATCTTCAGAATATGGCACATGTCTCGATTGATAATAATGGTTCCAAGATGGCAAACCAACAGGAAGTAACCGTCATAACCGTCACGTGACCAACCAGATCCGAATAGTTATTTGATACTATAGATACCCGGGTACCTATAGCCACTCCGTAACTTATTAGTTATTATTTAGATTTGTCTTGTAACTTCTACAAAACAGACGGCGAATTATTTTTACTTCTCTAAAATCCTACCGGCATTACTAAGCCTCAATGCTTAACAGATTTCTTTTAGATTTAAAACTCCCGTGCCAACTACAATTTTACAATAGGTTATTGAAACTCCTCGCGAGGAAAAAAAGTATATATAATGTTATAGCTCTATCACTACTATCAGCTAAGCATACCGGAACGTTTTACCGAGCTACCGGTATCCGAAAGGGGGAATAATGCGGATTTAGTTTTGAATAAAAATAATAAAATAGTGAAAGTGTAATCCCTGAGATGATAATCATATTTGCTACCGTATTTAATTTAGTAATTTGGAATTAGGTAAGTATGATTGTTTGGTTGCGTTTTTTAAAAAAAAAAAACTTGTACGGCACTTGCGATTGTCGCGTGTACATTAACTTTGATAATAATAATATTAATATAATGATACTGTGATAAGCATCAAGAACAGATCCAAAATCTCTAAATTCTAAATAAACTAGAACTAGAACTAAATTTAATAGTTAATTATTAATTTATTAATAGGCCTATTTAATTTTAATTACTTAATTTCATTAAATTGAATTTGGCCAAAGAGGGCTTAGAGGCGAGGGCTCAGAGGGCAAGGAGCGAGTTTGCAAGAAATCTGAGTAACATTGCTATTAATTAAGGCCGGCACTACGTACACCGCGGCGGTGTACCTAGCGAAACTATTGACTTTGGCCTGCGTACACCGCGGCGGTGTACCTAGCTAAATCATTGTCTGTGGCCTGCGTACACGCAGCGATTTAAAGCAGCAAAACCATGGTCTTTGCGAGTCTTAACCTTTTTGGCCTAACTGGTACTTGTAGATTTAATGTTATACTCTTGTTAAAACTGGAAACTATTTATATAAAATCGTTGAGTACCTTGGGAGGAAGCTTTTGAGTAAGTTCCACGCTCATAACTTATGTGGCAAAGTACTTGTAGAGCATTTCTTATTATTTATTGGAAGGGAGGGGGCTGGGGGTGTAATGTTAAACCATTTATTTATTTTTAGAGTTAACCATATTATTTCCCCCCATATATTGAAATACAATTATATTTATTAATTGTTTAAGTTTTATCCTATGATTGTGAATCTTAATAGGCATAAAAAGGGTAGCTAATTTGAAATTATCCCCCCCCCCCCCATTGTTTTTTTGGTATGGGGCATGATAATTATTACATTGTACGTGATCCCTCGGGGCGTGGTGTAAAAATGAATGGGAAGCCAGTGTATACATTTTGTTAGCACAAAGATATAATTACGCCACAAATACATTACGGGAAGAAAATCACACACATTGATCGTGAAGTTAAAGTTGTCCGAGGCATTGTCATTGTGATATCAAGCGATTGTCAAAACAAAACAACAGTATGATGATCAATACGAAACACTGCAGTGATTTTTAAAATTCTTTTAACAATAATTAAATATCATTGAATTAGTTTTACATTGGCATTACACATTAGTAAACACAAGGCCGGCAGACATCAGCACCCCCCTCTCTGGGTTGTGGGGGGATGCAAAAGGTAGGTTTGTTGTGCAGACGTCCTTTGTGGACAACCCCTATCCAGAGCCGTGATTTGTGTAGGCCCCCCATTTTGGTTGAACCTCTGCCCATAAATCACCCCCAACCCCCACCCGGGGCAAGGATCGAGTTCTTAGCAAAAAACAACAAATAAAAATACTTTGAAATAGCGAAAATCCTGTCCCAAGCGCATTGTGCAATGGCAATGGTATATGTGAGAAAACATTGTGTTTTACATGAGAATAGCACACCCCATGCCATTCTGGAAACACGACCATGCACATTAATATTAATATGATATTATTGATGAAATGGTATTTTCTTTGGGTGTTCGTAAAGTAAAATGTAAATATTCAACTACAAGAAGAATGTTGAAATACAATACAATAATCACTTAGTATTCAAAATGTTTCTCTTATACATGTTACATACACTATACATGCGCTTTCAGAATCTTTCAGTTTGTTTTCTAATGTCATACTCATATTACTAATATTACTGGTATTTTCAAAGTCAAAGTGTTGAAACACTTAATAATCAGTTTTAATATGAATATAACATATATTTAATTTAAATTGTTTAAATTGCTATAAAATATTTAAAAACTTCTCAGGAAACTACTGTTGCAAATGAACATGATGATTTAAATATAAAATATTTTAAATTAAAATGGGAAGGAAAAAAAACTCAATCCCCTACTGGGAATTGAACTCAAAATATATTATCTCCAAGCGTCCACTCTATCACTTGACCACACAAGATCTTATCTATCAGGCTTTTCTTAAGACCAGGCCAATGGTAAATTTTTGTCGCGGTGTACCCAGGCCAAAGCCCACGATTTCGCTAGGTACACCGCCGCGGTTTACGCAGGCCAAAGTCGATGGTTTTGCTAGGTACACCGCCGCGGTGTAGGCATCCACTTCGATTGGTTAATTTATTACTAATTAGACTAGTAATAAAAGTAGTAAACAACTAATTATAAACTAGTAGTGAGTCCTATGGCTAATTCAAGTTGACTATGACAAAACTGAAACTATTTTAAAATTAAAAGCAGTGGTTACCAACCCAATTAATGAATGATATTGATATGACCTCATGTGACAGTTTTAGTTTATTTGTAACATATTTATAGGTCTCGGAAGCTTAATTATACTTAATAGTATTATAAATATAAATTTAAAAAAGAGGCTAAATGATGTAAATAATAATTTATTTATACCTGACTTTATTATGATAATTACTAATGACCTGCTGCATAGGCATAGTAGAGGGTGGGGGCCTAAATAAAGTTTTAAATTTAAATCAAACAGTAACTACCCTAACCAAGTTCAAGTTATTATTTTATAAGGCCTACCGCTGCCTAGTTATAAAATTAAATAATCAGGCTCCCAACTTAGCTTAGTGTTGTACTATTTTTTAATTAATAATGCCATAGGGGTCTTCTCCAGGTCAGATTGTTAGATAGGGTAGGAAGTTTTATTTTATTTATTTTATAAAATATCTTAAAGATTTAAACTTGTTTTTACATTTTATTTCGGCATTTCTAAAACTAAGACCATGGTCTGGAATGAAATTGACAAATGATTAATGTAAAGTTAATGTAATTTAATCTCATGTCATTGCTTACTGACTTACTGTTTAATTGTAGGCCTATTCTACTAATTAAGTAGACCTACTCAGTAATACTGTGCTGTGGGCTAAATCATTGTAAATGTTAGGTTTGAATTCTGTTTGAAAGCATTATTATTTTTATTTCAATAATAATTTTATTGTTCACAGGGCAAACTGAAGTTAAAAATTTACCATGATCCGAAGAAAACCTACCCGCATTGAATTAAAGATAGCTGATTTAGATGAGTATGAGGCAATAAAAAAGGAGAGAGATGCTGCTGCCAAGATTTCCAACAAAGCTGATCAGATTCTAACACCAGAGATGTATTCTACTAAGAGCCGGATGGAGATCATTCATGCTAGGATTGGTTATGATCCAAAGCCTTTACCGCAGCCCTCTACATTACCTCACTAATTACAAATCTCCAGATGCATAATACTCTTTAAGATTTAGTGGGGTTTTTTGTTAGGGATTTATGTACATATACAGTACTGCATAGTTCGTAAAAATTAATATTTTTCCTGATTTAGGAAATTTACCAAGCAATTTGGACTGTATAGATGGTAATCTTAGTTTATCTCTTAGAGCCTTAAAATTATAATCAATAAACATTAGGATATTCATTTTTTTGCTAATGAAGGAAGCATCTTGTGCGAAATAATTGATTCAATAAATGGAGCGCCATTTCTAATCTGTCTACCTAATGTGCAGATATTCTGTGATTTTATTTGTATGAGACACCTTGTTTCAGTTAAATTTAACTATAGTTGTCATGGGTACAAGAATTACATTGAGGTCTTCATTTGGCAATCCAACTTTGGTATCAAAGACCAGAAGATTTGTCAATTGTTTTTATCAGCTATTACAAGAACATTTTGATACATTCTCTTAATAATTTTAAGATAATGTCATTAAAATTTACACAAGACTTCAATTAAAGCTAGCTTTGGAGAGAAGACAAATTTTTTTAAATTCTAAAACAAGTGAGTTTGAAAATTTTTTTAAAAATAATTGTAAGACTTTCTATGTTTCAAATTAATCAAATGATGGAAAAGAATCACTAATTATTTAGCATGTTATAAGTTAATGAATTGTTCGGCTATAACTGTTAATCATAAAACTATACACTTTCTATTCTTATGGCAATGTTATGTAAGTGCTTTACTGTATTGATAGATGATGTAAGAGTAATGCTAGCATGCTAAATTTTCCTTTTTTTTAAAGTTAATGCACAAGAACATTTCATGCCAGAATCTGTCTCAATAGCCATCTGCAAACCCACAGCCTAGTTCCAATTAGCATATATGATGATTAAGGCGGTCATAGTCGATTTCGACTGACGAACTATTATAAATGAGTTACTAAACTTAATGTGGATTGTTGTCTACATTAATTATTAAATTCCATTTTTCTTCTAAAAGCATAACTACTTTGACATTGTTTATAGAGTACATTATTTGAATTAAAATCATTTATGTATAATAAAAAAAATTATAAACATCAAGAGATTTTTTATTACCTCTGTCGTATGAAAAATAGAATTGTATTTTCAAATTGCAGTGTTTCCAGTATCCACTAAATCAATAACTCTGTAGATAAACATCTCCCGGGGGGGGGGGGGGTGTTGTAATATGGTGCAGCTGATTTAATATATTGGAATAATTCAGCCTACTTTTTGAACAGTTCTGAATTTAACAGATTCAATACAATGACATAATAACAGTAGAGACCAAAACATCAAGAGATTTTTTATTACCTCTGTCGTATGAAAAATAGAATTGTATTTTCAAATTGCAGTGTTTCCAGTATCCACTAAATCAATAACTCTGTAGATAAACATCTCCCGGGGGGGGGGTGTTGTAATATGGTGCAGCTGATTTAATATATTGGAATAATTCAGCCTACTTTTTGAACAGTTCTGAATTTAACAGATTCAATACAATGACATAATAACAGTAGAGACCAGCTATAGAAATAAGGCTTTTATTTAAACATTCATTTATTTCATTGCAAAATCAAACAAATTGTTTTGTATGTTGTAAAGAGTTAAAGAGTGATTGATTACAAATAATAAAAATTTTTTTACTACTCAGATAAAATCAAGGCATTATGAAAAATCAACATTCCATGTTTTAGAACAGAACACCACAGAACACTAATTTTCATTTATGTTCTTCTGTCAAGGGTCTGTACTGGTAGTTAATCAAGTAAATTTTAAATCACAAATTTTCTTTATTACACTGAACCTTAAATATATAAATAGCATGTGAGATTTTTGAAGGCAAAGTCTGCCACTAAAACTGTGTATTCACGTATGTGGACAAGATGGAAGTTTAATCTACAATTACAATGGACAAAAACAATTACTCTCATTGACCTTCAACCTGCATGATATTTTTTTTTAGAAGTGTATCTTCCATTCAACATGTTTATAATCTACTCATAAAATCTCCTTTAATTACTTGTGTATACAGCAAGAACCTATATAAAAAAAAAAAAGTATAATCATAATTTGAATGTTTATCTACTTAGTAGTACCAAACAAGTCAGCAGTAATTACCACATAAAAATATCTCAGATCTGACTACCGGTATACCATAAAATGATACACTATTATTTCAGCAGTTCTTCAACTGGGTTAACAAGGGGGTCTAAATGGTTGATTAAAAATTTTTTAAAATTTCATACAGTAGGTGAATGTTCAAAAAAACATTTAAATGTTATTTTTAAAACTTTAAAGATGAATTAATTGGATTCACAGATGGCTAGAGCTTCAGTGGGGGGGTGGAGGGGGTGTCTGACAAATATATGAATGTTTTGGTGGTCCTCAGACTGCTGTTGAAGAAATGCTGGTATGTTTGAAACATTTTTTTATACTACAGATTGGAATGTTGAAGTTGAATGAAATCTATCACATGTGTTTGTATATCACCTTCTGGACCAAAACTGAAACAAATCTGTTGACATAAATAAGCAGTTGGTCTGTGTAAAGACGATACAAGATATTGCTCTTACGAATCACAAGATGGAATTTTCTCCCTGGTTACCAATAATTAAGAACAATGAAATTAAAATGGTTTAAATATCAAATGTACATTTCAGCAGACAACACTAAGAATAAGAGAAACTGTGTCGTATGACACTGAGAGTTGCAGTGTTCTCTTGGGACAGTTGCTTTATAACTTTGCATATTGAAAGTTGTAATGGAAATATCACAAATATTTCAACATCTATTTAAAATGACATCTTAAATCTTGAATATTTTCATTTTGTAGACTTTTAAGGGCTACTTTTTTTTAACAGAACATTTATCTAAAGAGAAATTACAAATGGTATTTTTCTGTTAGAGAATCATTGCAGGTTTGGCATGGAAAAGTTATTTTAGAATAATGTAAAAGTTTTTTTTTTTAAATTGTATTATTTAAACTTCATCCAAACTGCTTATTCCTTCCCAGAACTGCTATTCAAAGGATTTAACAATAATAACAACTGTATGTTTTAAGAAAGCTGATGAAACCTTTAGATATTGTAATTTTCAAAAATGTTTCTTATCTAGAGTTTACTTTGTTCTTTAAAAAAATATTTTTTTTTATATTGCATAAGAAGAAACTATATTTTCCGTTATATAATCAAACCAAATGTTTGAAGTTTGTTTAAAATTTACCCGTGTTAGGTTTTTAACATCGCCTAAAAATTGTGAAATCCTGACTATTGCGTTAAAACAATTACAGCGTCAATATATAGAAGAAAGAAAATCAACATCATGAAATGAATCAGTAAAAAAAATTATTAAAATATTCATAACGTTTTTCCAGTGTAATGCAAAAATTTCAAACATAACTCATGGGCTGGACGGACATCAAATTTTATCATTAAGCATAGCTTGTATATAAGGTGAATTATTATTTCAAACAGTGTGAATAAAGACTGGATGGATAGTTAACAAATAAGCAAGTTTTAAAAAAATGCAAAATATTGTAATGTGTAAACTCAGGTGGACGGAAATGTGAGGATAAAAATATATCCTGACTGTAAACAAGAGCAGAGGACACAATATGACTGTCAATATTAAACCTGTCAATATTAAGCCTGCCAAAACTTTGTGGAACATTTATGTTATGGGTATAATTTTCTTTAAAAATAATTTACACCCTGTTTCTCTGATTCATTGGTGTAGAAAACTTTTATTTGCTCAGCTTTCTAAGGGAGATGAATTTTGTAAAGTAATCCTACGTCCAGCATAACTTTGTGATATGATGTTGATTGCACTACTTGTGGGTGCTGGAAAAAATTTAAGTAAGAGAGGGGCAAAAATTTTCACCTGACAAACATCAGAGAAACAGAGTCAGACTGCAGTGTAAAAAAATAAAATGATATTTTTAAGTTAATTTAAATTTAACATGATTAATTTTCTCATGACCGCAGTAATATGAAGGTAAAATGCATGGTTAAACATACTCTGGGTAATGATAGAAATGATACAAATTTAACCAAAATAAATCACCCATCAATTAATTTCAAGGGTTCATTCAAATATTTAAAACACTCATTTTTTTAAAAGATACAACACAACAATTATCTTGACCCCTTTTATACATTTGCCATAATATTCTATTCTTTATAAAACAAAATCATCTCCATTCATAAATAAGTTAAGCCTTTGTCACACAAAAATCCAGGCTATTTTTACCATTAGAATTTGTTCACATCAAATAATCTTCATGCATTAATTTTGCTTTCATTTAGTGTTGCTTTAATCATAAATAATCTTTTTAAGAAAGAACATTGTCCTCATAGTGGATTAAAATATATTTAGGTAACCACAATATAAAAAAAAAATGAATGTAAAATCTATTAATATATACAAATTAGAATGTCTAAAATACAAAATACCTTAGGCTGCTAAAAATAAAAGCCATGGTCTTTCTTTTTCTCCCCCCCCCCCAACCCTTTATATCCATAACTATAAATGGACAGATTCATAGTGATAACATGCTGAAGCACACATTTTCTATAACAGCACCTCTTTGCTAACTTGGGATGTGTAATTTCAAACTGACATATAAAACATGGCAGCTGTGATATACCAAAGCAACTCAGGCTGACCAAAATAAACTTAATGACAATTTTTTTTGTTTTTTTAGATTCCCCACAATCAGCATGCAATAAGAAAGCGTAACTGTCCTTGCCAAACTCAGCTCAACACCTCAAACTGAACACCCCCTGAATTGATAAATAGTACTTTGGAAAATTTTGTAGTGTTACCAGTCACCACCAATGGATGATCCTCATGGACAGTAGGATTACAAATACAAATAATCTTCCATAAGAGAATGCTCCCTCTGGGAACTATCTTCACATATGAACACTTGGCTTTTCACACAACTCATTTACTATTCTGTCTGCTCCTCAGGAGAATCATTCAGTGACATCTTTTTTTCTATGGGTTTGGAAAGTTTGACTAAGTCTGACAATAAGATTTGAACAAAAAAATTTCCTCAGTGTGTATTTAAAATCCATAAGATAAATTTGTTAAATGTACCCAATAAAATTTATTTATTAATTTTTGAAACAAAAATGTCACATCGATCTGACTTTGAAGTTTAAAACATAAATTACTGCTCCCTAACAATTTTTTTAGTTTGGAAAATAAATCTTGGCTCTCACTTTCATGGGCCAAAACGAGACGGAACCTTAATTAATTCCCCTATTAGCCATGTGAAAATACAGAGGACACAGAATTGCTCCCCCTATTTCCCCACTTAATTTCATGCTGAATACGGGTACCAACAATTATATAGACAGTACATCACTTAGGATTATAGTGGAAACCAAGAATTACTCTTCCTATTAGCCATGTAATAATTACCTCCCCTTATACCCCAGATAATACTGAAGACAGATCAGGTTCATCATTGCACACATTAGTGATTTTAAGAACACAAGACTTGAACCTTATCGCCACACTCTGCAGGTGTTATCCTTGCTGCCTGCAAGCAACAAAAACAAAATTCATATTGAAGAATTAAGAAAACATTGTAATTTCTAGTTCTCTGTATTATAAAGGGTTATTATTTAGATGCTGATGGGAATCTTGTTATCAATAATTCTGGAAAATACATTTTCTGTGTAATGTGTGTGCAAACGTAATGTGCCTTAAAATGCTTTAGGAGTGGTATCATGTCTACTGAATCCTGATACCACATCAAGTTCTGGCACAAAATATAGTATCTATGATTCTTACCAGTGATAATCGTGTTGCCTTCATAGTTGAAAGCACAGCTGAAGATCTCGTCGGTGTGGCCCTCCAGCACCTGCTTGCACTCACCCGTCTCAGGGTCCCAGAGTCTGGAAGTCTTGTCTGCACTGGCTGTCATCACAAGTGTGCCTTGGGGGTTGAACGTGATCTGAGGGGGAGGTTAAACAAACACTCATGTTGATTGTGTGTATGCAAAGTCAGATTCAGAAGGTAACAGCAATGTTTTTGCTGAGCTGAGCTTGTGTGAGGCATTTTGAGGTGTTAGCATGCAAAATGGAAATCAGACATTTTCAATGAATTTCTCTCATATTTCCTAGCATCCTTTCTATTTTCATTTTGCCTCACATATTTCCCAAACGTTTTCTGTCATTTGTTTCCTACCTTTGATATTTCCCCTTCGTGGCCAAAGAACTTTGATATCTGCTGGTTGGTGAGGGCGCTGTAGCAGCAACCTGTGTTATCAGCCGAGGCTGTTAGAACCCTCTGACCAGTGCAGTCAAAACCCACATCCAGAATCTCATCTGAGTGGGCCTTTAAAGTAGCAGTGCAGCGCCCTGGAAGGTCACAGGTTCATTTACATCAGCTAGTAAACATGAATTCTTTTTAAAGCAAAAAAATTTTTAAAACACAATGAAACTAAACTCACATATATTTTTGTAAGGAACTGGGGAGATTTTGACACTTAATAATTCTGAACTTTAGATAAATCTCTGAAGCTTTGTTAAATCTCTTAAGCTCAGATAAATCTCTAGAGCTCAGATACATCTCTTAAGCTCAGATAAATCTCTGGAGCTTAAATAAATCTCCAAAGCTTAGATAAATCTCTGAAGCTCAGATAAATCTCTGAAGCTCACATTAATCTCTAGAGCTCAGATAACGCTTAATTCCAAATACTAAATTACAAAAAAGAATGAGAGGTAATAAACAAAAGTTATTTGTGTAAAATATTTGTGAACTGCTAGAAATACAACATGGATGCTATACATCTTTCATCCAACAACCATTTGAAAACTTTCAGCTCGCAAAGTGATTTGTTTTAGATAGTCTTATTATAGTCACTACTATAAGTGGTCTGAAAACCCTTGACTGACCTGTTTCGTGCTGTTTAAGTGTCACATGTTTAATTCTTAAATGCCTCATGGTGAATAAAGATGAAACAACAAAACCTAACTGCCATCTATTATTATTATTACTATTATTATCATCAAGCGTTGAATGTGAAGTCATTATAGAATCATCTAGTTCTAGACAGAAACAAAAGTTTCACGTGGTCACCAGGAAGGAGAAAATTTTTGTCAAAATCTAAAAGAATTTTTTTTATGGTCACTGGCCGTCGAATTATCCTCATGGAACCTTTCAGGGACTTTGAGACCCCCTGATTTAATCTAACAATACCTGAAGCTCTGTCCCAAAGTTTACAGGTGCCGTCCATGGATCCTGTGGCGATAAGTGAACAATCCCAGTTGAACTGAGCACTGCTTATCTCAGCTTTGTGTCCGATCAGGGTGTGAATACGCCTGAAATAAAGTAACATTATCAGCCCAAAGTGTTTGTACGTTATGAAGTCAGACCCGACATACAATGAGGAAACAGTATGGTCAAAGGAATTACAGGTCAAGTGTCATAGCTTGCTTGTTGGACGGTATATCACACATAGACAGAGTATGGTCAAAGTAATTACAGGTCAAGAGTCATAACTTGCTTGTTGGACTGTACATCACACATAGACACAGTATGGACAAAGTAATTACAGGTCAAGTGTCATAACTTGCTTGTTGGACTGCACCCGGTACGTCACACATAGACACGGTATGGACAAAGTAATTACAGGTCAAGTGTCATAACTTGCTTGTTGGATGGTACGTCACACATAGACACAGTATGGTGAAAGTAATTACAGGTCAAGTGTCATAACTTGCTTGTTGGACTGTACCCGGTACGTCACACATAGACACAGTATGGACAAAGTAATTACAGGTCAAGTGTCATAACTTGCTTGTTGGACTGTACGTCACACATAGACACAGTATGGTGAAAGTAATTACAGGTCAAGTGTCATAACTTGCTTGTTAGACTGTATGTCACACATAGACACAGTATTGACAAACTCATACATGTCATAACCTACTTGTTTTGCCGTACATCCCACAGGGACACAGTGTGGTCAAATGAAGCAGTAATCAGCTCAGTGCCAGTTGAGCTGAATGACAAGGAAATAATCTCTCCGGTATGACCCTGGAATGAAAAAGTGAATACGGTTATGTCAAAACTTTTTTTTAAAACTTATTCTGAAAATAGGAACGCCAGATAGATGCCCACTTGACCAGTGACTTCAATTGCTATAATCTCAGTTCTCAGTAACACCATATATACTCATTCATAAGCCGATTTATTAAATTAATTTTTTTTAATTCAGCGAAAAAGTGGGGTGGTCAGCATATGAGTGGGTCCTAGGATATACTTCCAGGATCTCGTTCGCTTTAAAATCTCGGTTTTCAAAGATGAGATGACCAAGAAAAAACAACAACATTTTTTAATAAATCAATTAAACATTAACAGATTTATTAGCTTTATTCTTGTACTTTTCTTATTTTAAACATGCTGAATTGAAAAATCTATGTTGCTTTTAGAAGTAACTTTTTAGGGTACTCAGATTACTCATGGTTCCGCAGGTCATTCACTCTTGTCTCTTGAGTACTCTTGAATACTTTTATAGCACCTGTAACCATGCTATTTTAGCATGATATGGTAGTTGCCAGCCACAGAGACTTTCTCTTCACTTTAGATCCACATACTTATGATAAGTTTCAGTGCTTCTTAGAGCTTGGAGAGCTTTTTGATTTGATTCCTGTTGAAATTTATCTGTTAATGTCCTTGGCAGTAAAGTCATCATTGGAATCAAGGGCTTTTGCATTCAGCCTCTTCCTTTATGGTCATTTTGGAATGAGTTTTGACAGCTTTTTATTTGAGCGAAGTTATTAATCATGATCTGGGATTTTTCGACCGCCATGATTTCCCTGTGCTTAGAGAGTATTAAAGAAACTATAATGAATAATGAAATTGTTAACGTAGAGCAACAAGGTTCTATTTTTGGAGATGTTCAATATGGTTACTGTATATACAGGAAAACATATGAAGCGGGTATCTGTATAATAAGGTATGTTTATTTGTTTTTAAGTCTTTTTACTTTAAACATATAATTATTTTTAAAAGTTTGTTATTCTTTAAAATAACTTGTTTTCTTTAGTAGCCTACTGCATTGCTTCTAATGGGATCAGAGTTCAAGAGCAGGATTATACACACTTTTCTGGCACTTCCTGGCTTAACTTAGGATGTCAGCTTGTGGATGAAAGGGCTTATGAACGATTATATACAGGAGCCAAATTAAAAAAAAAAAATTTTCATATCAAAGCAATTAATAACAATCAGATATTTATTCAGAGATTCATACACAGATACTCTGGCAAGTAAACTTACACAGATACTTTGGCAAGTAAACATACACAGATACCTTGACAAGTAATCATGACAGATACTTAGGGTAAGTAAACCTATAAGATACTTAGGCAAGTAAGGAATAGACAATAAATAATAAGTGTAAAGACAAAGCAGTAAGTACATAATTTTATGAATTTTTCCCCCTCCTTTTTTTCCCCGCAAGCTGATTTAAAATAAAATTATTATTTCATTATATCCTCTATTTCTTTTTAAAAGAAACAAAGAGAGGAAGGCCAAAGAATACATGGAGATACGAGCTGGAGGCAGACACACAAAATATGGGATACTCCTGGAAACAACTGGAAAGGAAAGCACAGGACCGTGATGAATGGAAAATTCTTGTGGACGGTCAATGCCCCAGATGGGAAAAAAAGGCATAAGCAGTAAGAAGATTTCATTATGTACTCACAGACAAAGTGGCTAATTCTGTTCCTTTCTCCACATCCCAGAGTCGACAAGTGGAGTCCATGCTTCCTGTGGCTATGACTGTACTCTGGGGGTTGAAGCTGACGCACACCTGCAAGGTAGACAACTTGGTTAGCTAATTGACCTTTAATATTACCACAAAGCTTGAAGGGAGACAAACTGGTAACCTGACTGACCCTCATGATCACAGGCTAAAACGATGTATTATAACATGTCCAATAGGGAAACAAATTTTAAATTTTACTTAAAAGTAATATCCGGAGAAACATTTACTTTTGTGTAATAAAAAAACACTTGAAAGTGTTAAGTTTGTCGATTTGAATAATATGCCTGCAACTCTAAACACTCATTAGTGATAGCATTTTCAGAGACTCACAATTTCAGCAGTGTGTCCCTTATAGACGTGATAACATTTACCACTCTCTGAGCTCCAGATTCTGCAGGTTTTATCAAAAGATCCCGTCACAATCTTGTCACTGAAAGCATGATAGAAAATGCATGCGATGTTAAAACTGAATATTTCAGAATCAATTTATTGTTTATTTAACTTCCCAAGACAGGAGGCAAATATGACCCAAACAGAATTCTTCTTTCAAAAACCCTAGGAGGCCTGCCAAAATAATGATCACTGGTGTTGTACGCTGCATCCTATGTGTAACCTGGAATAGTGTTTTTCAACAACTACTAGTCCATACATGCCTACATGTACAGTTTACTAGTACTTTGCAGGATTTTTAGGCATCTTAAAATGTTTACGGCCATACAGGATTTATTATGGTTGTAAAGGATTTAGAATTTAGACAAACAATCAAGTTTGTTAAAAAAAATCTTTTGAAAAATAAATTTTAAATTGTTTGCACACAGCACACTAAATTCATCATAGGTCTAAAAGAAGCTTAAATCCTTTTTGGTCCATCCAAAATTACCTTGGACCTAATGTTTGGACCGGTAGGCCATCTCAACATAGAATCTGAGCAGTTCTGCCAGATCTATGTAATATACCAGTAGCTAATAAGGGAATCCTTACAATAGTAGCTACTCTGAGTAGTAAATCATAATTACAAATCTGTTTGTGAAATCTTAACACAGACTGCAAAGTTCTTTCAAAACTTAAATATATTTAATATCACTAACAATGAACAGCTTAGTTAGTTATTATGTACAGTACTGGTAGTACAAGTAGTATTATGCCCCACCGTGATTAAATTTAACGTGTTAGGCCTGACACTTCTAAAACCAAAACGGCTGTGATTTTCTTTGTTGTATAATTAGGCCTATATTTCAGTTAAGGCTTACATCAGTAAGAATTGTATATTGTTTTCTTTGTTTATTTACTATTTTACTCCAGCTGGAAACTTCTAATGCGAACTAATTTTTTTTTTATACAAGAAAGTTTTTTTTTTTAAAAAAAAAGAGTGAAAAGGGAGGGAGGGGGGGGGGGGGGGGGGGGGGGGGGCTTTGTAAGCTAAATGAGTGGCTGACCGATAATATCCTGGAATTATTGATGCTTCTTCAATAGGCTCATTGCAAGCATATTGCACCAAAAAAAGTGCTTGCTTCAGGCTGTTATGAAATTGAAGTACATTTTAAAAAATAATTGCAGAAATGAAACTTTGAGGCAAATGAAGCGAGATTCAACCCCTATTAAATCCTTCTTTTTCTCGGCCCCATCATGTGTATAATCTATCTGATAAAGTTACAGGGGCAGATATCTTATTTGCTAATTTCATTGCAATCACATCTAGTTTACACTGAAAGGTTAAACATTGCACTTGTTGTTTGGGTTTTCAAATTTATTGAGAAATTATCAAGAAGGCTAAGTTTGCAAGCAAACAAAACATTGACAATTTAATGGAAAAATGCATCAATTATACTTCTTTTCACCTCTCATTTCTTTCTGTACAGTTTTTCATACTATTGTACAGTTGTTGTTTTTTTTTTACATCTTGTACAGTTTTTGATCCCACAGGTTGGCATGTATGCTAGTCCCATGAGTATTTTGTATAAAATGTTACTGAACACATCCCTATCTCATGTACTAACCCGTAAGGATTGTTGAATGAGATGGCATAGACCACATTCCTATGGCCATCCAGTGTGTGTATCTCTTCTCCTGAACTAGTGTCCCAAACTTTACATGTTCTGTCATAGCTGCCAGTGATAAAGCTGCAACAAAGAAACCATTTTAGAAAGATAAAGACTTTTCATTTGAGTGTTTATTCCAACTCTGGCTCCATAAACTCTTGCAGTTGCTGGGCATCTTTTTACATCAATGAAAAATGAGGGGGGAATTCGTGTTACAAAAACAATTTTTTAAAGTAGAAATATTTTTTAACATTCTGACTCGGTCAATAAATCTCAAAGCCTGATTCCAAAACTCTGCATTCCTCTGATTTATGCATTATGAAGAAGAGTCCTAAAAAAAATATGATTTACGTGTGTCTGATTTGAGGCTTTAAGAGTTAGTAAGACAAAAGACAGATAGATAACCAGCACTACTTTAAATATTAAAATTATATTTGTTTCCTAGAATTAAAAAAAATAATTTATTGATATTTTTTTTTTACAAAATATTGCAATTTTAAAAAACATTTTGCAGTGGACTGTTGAGATTTTTTTTCAGAGGGAAATTAGTTAACAGTAGAGTTTCCATCTGTTCAAAAAACTTAATATAAACATTCCTATAATTAATTTTAACAAGAAAATTCTTACCTCGATCCTGATTTATTAAAGGCAACATTCGTTAATGGTAGTATGTGAGCCCTGAGGACCTGGAAGGATTGTATAATAATTTTATATCAAACAGATAAAACACATTTTAAATATAACCACACATTATTAACAATGCCATTTTTGTGGGATTTGGTGTGTCATAATAGGATTTTAAAAATTTAAATAAAGTTTTAAACAATTAGCCCTCCAATTTTGTACACATTTTTTAAGAGAAAATATAACATCTTTGAAGTGCATGTAAGCCACCAAATGAGTAATTGATGATTTCCATTTAAACCACCAAATGAGTAATTGATGATTTCCATTTAAGCCCCATCATCTTATTATTGTAATCCAATGTATTCTCTCTCTCAAAAACTGTAAATAATTTTCTTCTTTAATACTTACCTTGAACAAGTAGAACTGATGATCTTCTTTTTGTCCAATTTTTTCCTGCAGTCCTATGTACTGTTAAGTTTTACAACATATTCAAGTTGAACAACTGTGCTAGTCAGCTAGTGTTGCATGCAAAATTTAAGTAAGATCTATCATGTCATTTTCTCTTGACTAAGAAATTAAATATTTGTTTACTGTTGAACAGTTCTTTATGTCAATAATCAGTAAACCACATGAAGTGTATATGCATTAAAATATGTTCCTTTCTGGTTGATTTGAATCCACACACAAGACCCTTAGACACAGGAAGGTCATAATTCTTCTTCTATATATTAAGGGCCTACGATCAATTTACTGATCATTTTGGCTCCTATGCATATAGAGGGATTTGCAATGTTTCTGTGCCTGGTGTTGATGAGGATATTTCACTGATTGCAAGTGCTACTTTGTGAGGGAATCATGTACTGGAGGTTGGAAGGCTTGAGGCTATAGATGCAAATGTGCCTCAACTAATCCTTTTGAAAGCTTGTTCCAGTCCCTGATTGTCTTGGGAATGAGCAGTTCCTATACTGGCTTCTTGCTGGTATGAGCCGGAATTGCCTGTCGTGGCCTCATCGCTGTCTATCTATAGGGGAGAGGGACGAGTTTCTGTTTAATACTGGAACAGTGGACCAGCCCATTATTTACTTTGTACATCATGGAGAGCCTGGATTGTCGTCGTTCCTCCAATGGTAACAAGCCTAGTGTTTCCAGAATGCTGCCAAAACTAGCGGTATTCCTGTAGCGGTTCAAGACAAAGCGTACTGCCCGTCGCTGGACCGCCTCCAACCTGTCATTGCTCTTCTGGGTAAATGGGTCCCAAACTGAAGATGCATAATCTAAAACCGGACGGACAAAGGCCTTATATGCTCTTTCTTTCACACAGGAGTTGCGAATCTTTAGATTACACCTTAAGAATCCCAGGGTCTTGTTTGCTTGGTTACATACATTGTTAATATGCTCATCCCAGCAGACCTCTCTTTGAATGGTAACACCCAGGTACTTTACAGAGGAAACTTCTCAAGTATATGGCCTTGCAGTTCGTATTGGTCGTGTAGAGGAGTACAACTTCTAAAGACTGATAGTGTCTGGCACTTGGCAGGGTGAAATTCCATGTCCCAGCTCATCTCCCACTCAGCTAACAGATTGAGATCCTGTTGTAGCTAATTCATACGAGAGTTTTCCACCTATACTGAGTAATGTGAGTCATTTCACAACAGTGTCACCATTTACTACTGATATTTTTGTTTTTATGTTATGTTGTGACGCATGCCATAAAAATTATTGTTGAAATCCTTCTTATACCCCTGAAATATTTTATTATAAAGTCGGCTTTAGAACAAATAAATACGGCAGTTTATACTCATTTTATGACTCTTGATCTAGTCACATATTAATAACCCTTTTATTATATATCTGGCTTGTTTGGTTAACTTATCAATCAAATAACAATATTACTATTATATTACTGGTATAGAAGCACTTCACATTTGGGATGTACCTTTTCAATGCAAAAAGGATACGAGCTACAAGCTTTTTGACTTGCTCTGCTTTTGTTGATGTAATCAGAGGCTCCTTCTGTGCTATTTCTTCTACCACTTGATCAATATTTGTGCTGAAATTATTAAAATTTTATCAGGAGCACTGTTAAATACTTAGGGGTAAAAAGAAATACTGACTCAGTACTGATTTCAAATGAGGTTGTGGAGGGTGGTTGAACTTGGAGTCAACGCTCAGTTTCAATGATTTTGCTCAACTACCAGCAGAACTAAAGCGCTAAGAAATATTGATTTTCTTTTAAAAAACATAGTACTTTGATTACACACCTCACTAGTTTAAACTATCATAAATGGAAATAATGGTAACATAAGTAAAAAATTAAAAATTACAATATAAAGGTGCTTTGTAATAAATGGTGAAATTTACTTTGGAGACAAATCCAGCAGATCTATGGACTTTGTCTTTATTACACCTCCTTGTTCATACTCAAGAATTATACCTAGTTGAGAAAGAAAAAAGCTAATTATAAATTTGAGATACAATGGGCCAAGGCCTCATGAAAAACAATCTAATCAAATGTAAGTCAAGAATAATGTGACATAACAGCCCCTTTTGCCCTTTGCATATTAAAAAGTAAGTATAACATAAAGGCTAATACTCAATGAGATAACTTTGATTGGCAAGTTGGATAAATATGGCTACAAATGATAATTTTCATGAAACAGACAGAAAAGACACAGGTAAAGTTTAACATTCTTTGTTCACATTACATTGTGGTGCATTGGGAAACAATGCCTAGTCTGCCCAAGGTCAAAAGATTTTTGGATATGGTTAATTTTACTGTTAAAAGCCTTAAAAACCAAGATAAATAAAGGGATGTCATAAATGTGTACTTATGGAGGCCTGTGAATCCAAAAATATTTTAAGGATACATGATGCTCTGTCGAGTCTCTATTTTGTAAACTTTAAAAAAAAAAATAATAATTCATTTGCTATTGAAAAGTATAGAGAACTCTTAAGGTGATCTTTTTATAACAAACTACATGCAGATTAAAGCTAATGTGAGGAGAGTCAATGACAATTCTAAATGATACAATCATAAATTTACACTTGCTACATTGAAAATTCCCTTCGTGTTTAGGAAACAAAGAACAGCCATTTACATAAAAATAGTGCTCAATAAAAATTTAATTTTTTTTAAAGACTATTATATAATAACCATAGGAAATGCAAATTAATTTCTAGTTAAGTCTGTAAAGCTTCTACAAAATTTACTAGGCAATAAGGCAGCTGCATTTTGCGATCTGATCTTACTTAATTCTTATAATAAAGATCATTCTTCTCAACTAAATATTAAACTATAATAAGTGTGACTCAAATAATTACTATGTCTAGAGTGATTAGAGTCTTTTACTTTAGATATATTTTGAGGCAGTGACTTCATTAGTCTTAAAAGCTAAAAAATTATAAATAATGCCAGTGACAATTTTGTCATTTTGTCTTCTTTTTAATTTAAATTTGACTCTTTCACTTTCAACTTTGCTTCGGAAGATTCATTTTACAAAAAAGTAAAACAATAATTTTTTAAAGATAAATTTAATTTAATTATAATTAAGAAACAGCCGAACGTTTCATTATTACCAGGAGGATAGTATCTAAGCAGGAATCTTTTGAGCTTCATTTTAAAGAACAAACTTCAATTTTTACTACTTTTTCTAGAAATTGAAGGCATTCAACATGGCGGTATCAACTTCCGCTGGTAAGGGCTCCCGAAAATTTTTATAATTTATTAAGATTTTATAAAACAATTTTAAAACAATTTTAGCATTTAAAAACTTATTCCAATTTGGCCCAGTTTTGTTTTAAAATAAATTAAATTATATTTATAATTAAAATAAATACAGATAAAATATTTATCAATAGGTGCTATAAAACTTATGATTTATAATGATTACTCTTTTCAGTTTTCACAAGGGAGATTACTTTAAAATCATGTTGCATAAATATTAGATGTATTATTTCCGGCTTAACGAAATCCTAACCTAAACAGAAAGTTTGTGTATTTATTTATACTTATACTATCATCTTTTAAGGATAGTTTAACTAATCTTTTATTAAAATAAAAGTTGGTAGCCTAAAAGTTAAAAGTATGAGTAAGCCTCAGACCCAGTAAGTTACTAAGAATCATCCAAGAATAAGATTTAGTGATTTAGACTGGTAAATGTAAAGGACGAATGCCACTATTTTATCCATGACCGCGACTAATGCCCTAAATTCTAAATCGATCCCTATGCCTAACCTGAACCCTAAATCGATCCCTATGCCTAACCTGAACCCTATATCGATCCCTATGCCTAACCTGAACTCTAAATCGATCCCAATGCCTAACCTAAACCCTAATTCACTGCAACTATAAGACTATAATAAACAAGCAAATGTAAATGACACTGTGGCATTCATGCTTTATATTAGTATTAGCCTTTAGACTTACTTAGACACTTAACTTTTTTGAGTAAGAGACTAAATTATGCTAACCTAAATTTTAAATAGTAAATAATTATTTAATTAAATTATTAATAAATAATTAATAATAAAATGAATATAATTAATTATTACTAATATATATAGCGGCGTAAATTTAAATAACTAGTTTATTATTAGCTGATTAATTTTAATATTTATAATATATATTCCAAAATTATTAAAAGATGCGTTGGCCTTAATTTTAAATAATGAGTTTAATAATGACTTAATTTAAGTTTAACTCTTTCTCTACGGAATTATTTTCCGTGTTCTGACGGAATTATCTATTTTGCGTTTTGGTAACGCACTACTATGTTGTCTCTAAACCTTCATAACCATTTTGTTTTTCATCATAAATTGCTAAGTTTGGTATGGAATTAAAGGAGAATTTATGCCCTTCACAAGCAAACCGGAATTGGGTTTAAATTTTCATGTATAAATGTGATTTTCATTTCAGAAAAATAAAAATAAAAAACTTACCAACTGTTCACAAAACGCTCACTCCAAGTCACACGAGGAGAAATATATAATCCAAAGTTCAACAAAAATGTTGTTTTTTTCTGAACTATGTCCATATATGCATCACAAATAATAAAGATCAACTTAAAAAACAAAAAAAATTAACCTCAGAGCACATTATCCATTGTCACCGTCACACAAAAAATTTGCAAAAAAAATTTAACTATTGCCACTGGAAACAATTTGTTGCTATTATAAAATATGTGCACTGTATTCTTGTATGTACTAACATTTATAATGGTAAATTGAACATTTACCATACATTTGTCACATCTTTTCATCTTTGTTTAGCTATAGCAAGCCTAAAAACAATAAATATTGATGTGCACTTTAGCTGGGGGCGGGGCTGATTGTTCATCTGCTGATGAATTACCAATTTCATTATTTCATCACTAGTACTACTAATACTAGTAATAGGATTATAATTATACTATTCAAAGGAATCAGCGTCTGCATTTGAAATAATAAAATCACTGTCAAAATCTTCACTTCAAATCGAAGATGTGAGTGTTGTTCTGGAGAGAAAGAGTTAATGTATAAATAATATAGCCATAGGCCATAGCAGTTATGCCCTATTATTATTTTAATAGTAAGCGATACAGAGAAAAATTACTTAACATCAACACAGTAATACACAGCTATTAATAGCCTAAATTATTTATTAAATAAAAGTGAATTATTAGCCTATAATTTCTATAATAGTAATTAAAAGAGTAGACTTAATTATAGTTATCACTTACTGAATGACTTATACATTATACATATATGATATATAAAACTGCCAGACAATGATTAAATGATGGCACCGTTATAACTATGTGAGACCTCTAGTTTTTAATGACATTACACTTATTAATTTTTATTAACCAACTACTTATTTCCCCGGAAGCGACTAACTGACTCACCACCCCTGACTGCACCCTGCACAAAATCCTGTGGTCATCCATGCTACTATTCTTATTAGCATATTATTGTAATATTTTTTTATAAATTTGTTTCATTTTTCTAACCAAAACACAAACTGCCTAGCGAGCTGATAAGCCATGAAGGAAATTAGTTGAATAGTTTACATTTTCTAGGGTGCATATCCATTTAAATTACTATCCCATTGATTAATTTCAATGGGCCAATGTGTTAGATTACCTTTTTTAAATCAGATTAACTTAATTCGATTCAATTTTCTTTTTTCCATTAATTTTGCAGATCATTAGATTTGGCAGGGCCCAGACATAACCTCATAAGCCTTACTGAGCGTTCATGAGACAATTGATTAATTTGTATATATTAATATGGTTACAATCACACAAAATAATTATGAAGTAGATTAGTTTTCAGTGTACTTTCAATATATAATTAAGTTGATAGATTTTGTTATTGATAAACAGCTAATAAACACTTGGACCCACACTAATAGAAGTAACAGTTAAAGTGGTTTTAATCACTTTTTCACTTCACAGTATTCTTTGAATCGTGTTCCTGCAGCACGCTAGCATATGAGTTTGCTACAATATGAGGGCTTCAGTCTAATTCAGGGTAGGCAACCTACGGCATGAATGCCAGCCTTGGCACGCATACAAATTTTCATTGGCACACAGACGACCAACAAAATAATTATAAATGACTTACAAATGGGCCTTAAATGGTAGACTTATAACTTATTGGCACGCTAATACCAAAAGGATGCTGACCCCTGGTCTAGTGCATGCAAAATATGCCTCCACCAGTCTGAGGTTGCTAGTTATTTTTGCTTGTGTTATATGTAAATTTGTGTTACTTTTAATTATTTCTTTTTTATCCCATTTCCATATGGATACATTTTTTATTAATATCACAAAGTCTCAAGTTTTTGGGCACACCAGCTAATCTCATAGCACACTACTGTGCCACAACACAACCATTTAGAACCACTGCTTTAGACAGCATTATAAATTCAGCTGGAATAAATGTAATTCTAAAGTTAGTAAGTAAGCATTCTAAAATGTATTAATAGAATTTAAACCCATAGTTTAGATAGGCCTATTATCAGATATATCTTTTTAAGATATTACAATCCAGTGTGTATATAAAAAAATGCTCACATCAAAATGACTGAATCTTTTTTTTTTATTCTTTAATTTTATCATGATTCATCAGCATTTTTTTCTCTTGTGTCATATTCCCTACCATATTTTATATAAATAGGCCACAACTTATCTGTGTTATGATTAGATAATATTACTATAAATAAATTTTAAAGCTTTCTTCTTTTTAACTGATAGGTAATGTTACGTACCATTAAAAGGTTTTGAAAATTTAATCTGTTTTAAGATTTGGCTTGTAAAATGAACAAAACATGAAAACGGACTGAAAACAAGTATACTAAGAAAAATGATACCAAAACTAGTGATACTACTAACAATATTCAATTTAATTAAAATTGTAAATTTCTATCAAAATACAAATTCAAATATACAGAAACAAAAAACTACATCTTGCAGCACAACAAGTGAAAAAGTACAATCCTTGAAATATACAAAAATTCATTTACACACACATAAAGAGTTCAATCTTTCAAGAGTATTACATCTCGTAACTGTTAAAGATAATTTGCAAAAATCTCTCCCAGTTAGGAAAGGTGCTGGCCTAAATATAGAGATTAAATCAGAACCATCCAGGAAAGAAGTTCTAGACATTGCATCACCTGATAGCATTCTTTAGAAAAAAATATAATGTATTTAATCATAAGAAAACTTTTCCCTATCAAGAGAGGGGTGAATAAAAGGAGGGGCACAGCACATTTAATCAGTGAAGTCAATATCAAAACAAAAAGGGAGACAAGAGATGGTGGCCAGTGCTAAAATTAGGTCCACACACATGCCATAACTGTTAGCCTAATTGTAACTATTAGTAATAGTTGGCGTGACTTTTGGATGGTCCCTGCCACTTTTAGGTTGTGAGGACCTTGCATTCAAAGTAGATTGTTTAAATTTTTCCTTAGAAAAACTTTGGGCCTCTTTAACATCTGAGGCCCTGTGCAGACGCAGGGTCGCAGGACACACACAACGGCTCTGCAGCAAGTCATGAGACATTAATTTTGTAGACAATTAATACACAAGATATTCATACCAAATATGTAGAAAAGATTTGTATAAATACTGGTATAAAATAAATTACCGGTATATAATATTTTGATAACTTAAAAAAAACTCACATATAAATATATCAGGGCATACATTTCAGTGTTTCCTTCATGTTTTTTTTATAAGATTAAAGTATTTTTTAAATCCTCTCAGCACCTTGATCAATGAAAGATGGTGTACAATTGGAAATCTGTTAACTTTCAAAAAAACATTATTTCCTTTTTTACAGAAGTAATTTAATTATTTTTTATCAAATTGTATTATATCTTACAAGGACCCCAGGATGTTAATAATTGTTTAATTACTTTCAAAAAACATAAACAGTGAGCTTATAGTGTATTAGATACTGTGTGTAAGTTAGATTATCATTTTAGATACCCGGCACTACAATACTTGCTTTACAGGCTATAACACAGCATGCCAATCAATATCCTTATGTATGTGAAGCATCGGTTTGAGCACTGTAAGAATAAATTTCTATGAAGGCCAATGAAATATGGATGACCAGTTTAAAAGAAAATCTCTACAACCAATAGTTAGTTTGGGAGAAAGTTTACAGAAACATCTCTACTGAAAGACCAAGGGTGCCCATCATATTTTATAAGAGTCATTTCTCTTTTTTTTAACAAACCTAGTGGAAATTACATGGCTTAATTAGATGCAGGATTTTTTTTTTTTTAAACCCGCCGATAGACTTTAGAGGAAACAAAACGAACTTAAACAGTTGGCTCGTACTGTACAGAAGAGATGACATGGTGACTGCATAAATTGAAATTGGAAACTAAAGGTATGCTTTTGTGAAGGGGGAAAAAAAAGAGAGCTACATTTGTTATTTGGAATTAATCCCTTTAACTTTCAGAATTCTGATCTATTATTTACTTGAATTCAGGCTCCCTGTGTTCTACCTGTGACAATTTTAATCCTTGCTAAATAGAGAAAAAAGCATTTAAAGGTGTCCTTGTTGATTAGATGAATTCACTAAGATGAAAAATGCTGCATGGTTTTTTTTTTTTTTTTTTTGTTTTGGTTTTTTTAATTTGAAAATACCAGTTGTATATGATTTAATATCATATAAGGGGCTTCATTGTCTTGATTTTTAAAAAAAATTATTTGTTTTCAACAGGTGGTCAAAGTCCCATTAACTGGATGATGATACAGCTTTAAAATGAAGAATGACATAAGAAATCGTAAAACTGACCATCTGCAGCAGACTGTGAAAACTGGGATGTCAAAGCTGGAAAATGTCATGGGAGATTCAGTAATGAGGTTCCGTCACATGCCATCCAGAGCCAAAGTTTTAGTCTTCATGTCTGCCGTTTTGTCTTTGTTCCTCTACCTTTATCTGGCCAAGTGGTTGTTCCAATCAAATCCTGAGACAGATTTTGAGAGTCTCCTCGACACGGAGAAATGCCCAGCCTGCTATGGTGGATCAGCATGTGGAATGATCTACTACAAACAAATTGAGTTTGTTGGGATGTCTAAATTCAGAGTTCTGGACATCTTAAATGGCAAGAATGTTCATGTGGGATCAGTGCGACCCAACGGTAAAGAGATCGTCATGAAGAAACTGGCCACTGACACAGAACTCAAGGACTTGGATGCGAGACTATGCAAAGACGCCATGCGTCCAGAGGGGTGCGACATTGCCAGGGTTCTGGTACGAACCAACATGGCATCTCATCTCAATACCGAGCCCGTTAAGCCAGACCTTCTTAAGGGCACTGGCTCTTTCATGTTCAAGTGCCCCAGTTACAGGCTGCTTGACAGGGTTTGGTCATACTTCAAGGAATTCAAGAAAAAAAAAGAAATTTTCTTGTCAGATAAAATGCAGGTCTTGTACTCAGCATTGATAAATGCAGAAGGTTTGATGCTACAGGTAAAAAAAAAAAAAACATCTAAAATACTAATAATTATTAACTTTAAGATGCTTTATGGATGGCAATAGTCAAAATCATTATTCACTGTCATTTTTTTAATGTGTTAAATGGATGGAAGGGGGGAGGGGGCGTTTAATATTTGATGAAATTCAGAATTGATATTGTTTACAGCACTATAGACACAGAATGATAGCTTTGAATATTGTTTGTAGTGTCGTAGATACAGGTACACAAAATGATAGCCTTGACCATTTTTCGCTTCAGACTTTTCCCAAATCTGAAGGGTGGCCCTTTCCTGAATACATTGGATCGTGTGGGCGAGTTATAATAGTTGAGGATACCGGTCGACCACTGTCTGAGTTTGTTTCATCCTCCTTTCACATAAGAGTAAGTTTAGCACCTCCTCCTTTCAAATAAGAGTAAGTTAGCACCTCCTGTCACAAAAGAGTAAGTTTAGCACCGCTTGACTAATCATTAAGTCTGATATCATTAAGTATTTTCTGCATTTCGCGATGTTTTGCCCCCATATGGCTTAGTTCATTAAACTATGCAAGCTAGTTGTATGCATAGTGACACTTGAATCATATTTATGATGGAGGACTTGTTGATTTTGCTGGGATTTGAACCCCAGACAATTTAGTTACAAAACTTTGTGTCTTCTGATGTTTGAATAAAGCTTGTTTTTTTTTGTCTGCAGGCCAACATTGCGTATGAACTAATGAAAATTGCAGAAAAGTTGACCACAATGTCTGACTTTGGCCTGTACCTAACGGATGTCAACCTGGAAAACTTTGTTGTGGATCCCAGCGGAAGAGTTACTGTCGTCGACCTTGAAAATATCATTGTTGTTGACAAGCTTGCCATACAAGCAAGTGGGTACACAATGTTACTTACCTTGGTTCTTTTGATTGTCAGGAACATTTGGTATGATTTTGTTCTATCATTTGCCTACATCCTGAATATTCCAACAAAATTGTGAGAAATTTTATACAAAGTTTTTTTATAAAGCAGTTGCTTTTTTTTTTAGATAGTAATTGAAGGACTGCATTCCAGCTTTGTGAATGAAATAGTAAAACAAGCTTGAATCAAGCTTCAACATACTGGTACTGGTAGCTTGTTTTTACTATTTCATTTTTTTAAATATTGGGGTTGCTACATAGATTTCTAAGGTTGATATCTATCCAAGAAATCAATGTTCAACTACTCATTTTAATTTCTTTTTTTTTTTTATAGTTTTTTTTTTAAATCCTAAATTTGTATGTACATTTGAATGTAACCACAGAAAAGCCTAAAGGCTGGAATGAGCCACTGGAGGCACCGTTCAGTGACTGCGATGGGAAGAACTGCCTCATTTTCAATGCAGATGAGATGTGCACCCACGTGAACAGCGACCACAACTACAATGCCATCTGTAGGAACCTTTTGTCTCACTACGCTGTGGAGGACAGAATGCCCAATGGGTTTCTGCATGACATGCCAATAGAAGCTGAAGATTATTGGGACCTGAGTAAGTCAAGATGACCACATGCACATGCAATGTGATCATCAAATTTATTAGCAATGGTATCATCTGATTTAATAGCAATTAGATACTCAGATTTATTAGCAATGGGATCATCAGGGTTATTAGCAATTAGGATCATCAGATTTATTGTCAATGCGATCATCAGATTTATTAGCAATGGGATCATCAGGTTTATTAGCCATGGGGTTATCAGATTAATTAGCAATGGGATCATCAGATTTATTGGCAAAGGGGTCATCAGGGTTGATAGCAATGGGGTTATCAGTAGTATTAGCAGTGATCTCATCAGATTTATTAGCAATGATATTATCAGATTTATTAGCAATGGGATCATCAGATTTATTGGCAACATAAAGGAGGGTTGAAGACATCAGGAGTGCAGCTCAATCACCTTGTATTATGAGTTAATATTATTAACTATTAGCCAAGCTTTGTTGTTTTGATTCCTATGAAAGGTTCACATTTTTTTCCCACAGAAAATCTTCTTGAAGAATGTGCAAGACCACAGCACAAAGAAGGCAGATGGAAGGTGAAAGATAAAATTATGCACGCCCTGGATGCGCTGAAGGATGGGAAGAAAGTTCACAGTGAGACTAAGCAAGGCAGGGAGGTCAATAGTCAGACTAAGCTTGGGAGGGAAGTCTGAGGTGTTTGAGAATTGAGACTTTCATCAAGAAATGTGTGTGCCTGTCAGAATGCAGTGTGTGATGGGTTCGGGGAGGGGGGGCGCACGCGTTTAAATGTAATTGAGATGGGAAATCCAACACTAGTAGAAAATGGATGCTTGGAAAGACATTTAAGGAAATATAAAAACTGAAAGACTAATGTGTTCTCCAAGTAAAGTTTAAACAAATAGGGTCTAGTGATTGAGTTATGCCAATCATCTGATTTGTTGATGCTAATGAAATTTGACAAATTCAATGAAACTTGGTGGAAAATCAAATATAGGAAGAGTATGTTTATGAATTATTGAATTCTTGTGTATTCATCTATATGTATATATTAGAATAATTGGTCAATGGTTGTGTGCTGAAAATATGGAAGTAGTTACTGAGCTCTGTGGAGTGCCAATGCCTGTTTGAAAAAAAAAATTATATTCACGCATACTTTTTGGAATCATGGAACGAGAATGAATGATGCTTAACTATCAGCTGACAGTCTTGCTTTGCACACATTTTTTTCAGTTGACAGACCCCCTTGTTAAAAGCTATTGTAAAAATTTAACATAACGATTCAGTTTTTGGTCAAAATGAGTCCTGGTTACGATTTGTTCCACGCTTGACTCTAACAATGAGAGTATTTCTTTTTCAATCGTGCAATGCAGCATCCAGAACACAACTCAGTGTGTTACCGTACATGTATTAGATTTGAACAGACAGCCCTTATATGGGATGTTGATGTGGCTCTGTATACAGTGGGATGAGACACATGCAAAGAGATATGATTACTCATTAGCAGGACACAAACATAAGAAGAAAAAAGGGTTTTTAATAATGTATCAGGACTTTAGAGGGCTGGTTTTTTCCTAAGATTTTTTTTTAATGAGAAAGCAATAAGAATACTATATGTTTTATTATAAAATGCTTTTATATGTTTTCTTAAATTTATATAACATTCCCTTATTCATAAACAACAATGTGAAATATGTACCTTATATGATTATGATGATGCTTACATTTATTAATAAATACGAACAATGTTATTTTAATAAGAGAAGTTGTTGTTAGACCTCTTATCGTCTACATTAAATAAATTTTATTTTACATCAATTTTTGACATGCATGCCTGCCTGTTTAAGTCTCGAAGAAGAGGAAGAATAGGATGGAAATTTATTCTTTATACAATTTAAAGCATTTTGTTTACCATAGTGAATGACGTACATAGAATTTGATATTTCATTGTATACACAGGCTAGAACTAATTAATTTGATATTGGAGGTTAATTTTACATTTTACTAAAGAGTTGTTTTTTTTTTTGGGGGGGGGGGGGGGGTTTTTTGTTTTTTTTTTTTTTTTTTGGGGGGGGGGGGGGGTTCTTAGCTTTATTTCTTTTATTTTGAGTTGGGCTTTTAAATATCAGGCCACTGAAAATAGAGCTTTGCTGTAGCTTAATGATGAAGAAGCTTTCACATATAATTCTAGTTTTATAGCAAATAATGGCAATTTTTTAAGACCATGTACCTAGAACAGGGGTCGGAAACCTTTTGAGACGGAAGAGTTAAAAGTTACAATTTTCAAAATTTCCCAGTTTTGAAGAGCCACTAAAATTTGTATATATATAATTATTCATATTTGCACATGGAACTGGAGAGCCGCATCTTGAGATCAAAAGAGCCGCGAGCCGCAGGTTGCTGACCCCTGACCTAGAATGTTAGATGTTTCTATCAACAGGAAAAATTGTGTTTATTTTTATCAAATTCTTCCATATGCTGGACGTGTTATCCAATTTTGCTAATAATTTGACTTTGATACCTGACCTAGCAAAAAATGATGTGTTTGTTGGGTGCTTTTCATGAGAAGATAGTTCTAGTTTTTTGTATAATAAATTAATGACATATTTCATTGTCTCCTTCATCTTGACTACTTTATTATAGGAAACGAAGGTTCTCCAAATAAAAATGTAAAAAAAAAACAAACAGCCATTGCAATGATTTGTTTGTCATTGTAAAATGTTGACATTAAGTTATATCATTGGCACAGTTCATTCATTTCATTGAATTAACAAAAAAAACAAAAACTCTTTATTTAATATTTAAAATTCAATGATCAAGGTTGTTTGAATGGGTTCCAAGCTTCTTTATGAAGATGTCACAACTTCACCTTCAAATCCTGTAGTACTTTGCCACAAGCTTCTTTATGAAGATGTCACAACTTCACCTACAAATCCTGGAGTACTTTGCCACAAACTTCTTTATGAAGATGTCACAACTTCCCCTTCAAATCCTGTAGTACTTTGCCACAAGCTTCTTTATGAAGATGTCACAACTTCCCCTTGAAATCCTGTAGTACTTTGCCACAAGCTTCTTTATGAAGATGTCACAACTTCACCTTCAAATCCTGTAGTACTTTGCCACAAGCTTCTTTATGAAGATGTCACAACTTCCCCTTGAAATCCTGTAGTACTTTGCCACAAGCTTCTTTATGAAGATGTCACAACTTCCCCTTGAAATCCTGTAGTACTTTTCCACAAGCTTCTTTATGAAGATGTCACACCTTCACCTTCAAATCCTGTAGTACTTTGGCATAGTTTCACTACTTTACCCTGCCACATTAGAAACACTATGTTTTTGTTTTTTTTTCTATTCACACATGCTTTTTTGGGGAAGCATTGGGAACCAATGAATGGTGCTTTACTCTGTCAGCGGACAGTCTTGGTTTGCACGCGTATTTTTCAGTTGACATAACCCCTTGTTACAAACTGGCCTCCCAGTCAAAAGTCAACCAAAAAAAAAAAAAAATCCTTCAAAGTAGTGTTGATGTTCTTGTTATGCTCGGGGACCAGCCGAAAAATTCTCAGACCTTAAGCCTAAGGCTGTGTTCCAACGGAAGCTTAGAGCAATCTGAGCTTGTTTCCTGTTTTGAAACGTAAGTAGAACGATTTTCTCTTTCGCAAAACACTCATTTAGTTTACGGTATTGATTATCCTTTTCCTGGATTAAAGTCGATACCGACTACAGGTGTAAGACTTGCGGAACTATAGATATTTTAAACAACAATCCCCTCCCCCCCCACACACACACTTTGATTTCATGGGGCTCAATGCCACCGAATCTACAGAAGACTTTGTCTCATGTGAGTTAATTTTCCTAATATTCTGGAACCATATTAGGTCGTTAACTAAATTTCACATCATCAATGTGTGCTTCGCTACCTAAACTAAAATGGAAGCGCTGAGAGATACTTAGTTCTTAAAAATGTTGTTCCTGATGTGTGTGTGTCTGTGTGTGGGTGTGCGTGGGGGGGGGGAGGAGGGGGTGTTACCAAATAGGTAACATTGATGGGGGGGGAGGGGTTGTTATCAAAAAGGTAAACATTGATCCTGGGGGGGGGAGGGGATGTTAACAAATAGGGAAAAATTGATCCTGGGGGGAGGGGGTGTTACAAAAATAGGTAAACATTGATCCTGGGGGGTGGGGGTGTTACCAAATAGGTAAACATTGATCCTGGGGGGAGGGGGTGTTACCAAATAGGTAAACATTGATCCTGGGGGGTGGAGGGGGTGTTACCAAATAGGTAAACATTGATCCTAGGGGGAGGGGGTGTTACCAAATAGGTAAACATTGATCCTGGGGGGGGGAGGGAGTGTTACCAAAAGAGAAATTCGTTTGTGTGTGTGTTTGATTTATGGTTGGTGGGTGGAAGGGGAGGGATTGGTTTAATTTGATGGTGAAAGGGATTGGTTATGTTCGATGGTGGGAGGGGAGGGATTGGTTGTGTTTGATGGTGGGAGGGAAGGGCTGGTTTTGTTTGATGGTGGAAGGGAAGGGATTGGTTATGTTCGATGGTGGGAGGGAAGGGATTGGTTGTGTTTGATGTGGGAGGGAAGGGATTGGTTGTGTTTGATGGGTGGGAGGGAAGGGATTGGTTGTGTTTGATGGGTGGGAGGGAAAGGATTGGTTGTGTTTAATGGGTGGGAGGGGGAGGGATTGGTTGTGTTTGATGGGTGGGAGGGAAGGGATTGGTTGTGTTTGATGGATGGGAGGGAAAGGATTGGTTGTGGTTGATGTGTGGGAGGGAAAGGATTGGTTGTGTTTGATGGGTGGGAGGGAAAGGATTGGTTGTGTTTGATGGGTGGGAGGGAAGGGATTGGTTGTGTTTAATGGGTGGGAGGGAAGGGATTGGTTGTGTTTGATGGATGGGAGGGAAGGGATTGGTTGTGTTTGATGGGTGGGAGGGAAGGGATTGGTTGTGTTTGATGGGTGGGAGGGAAGGGATTGGTTGTTTTTGATGGGTGGGAGGGAAGGAATTGGTTGTGTTTGATGGATGGGAGGGAAGGGATTGGTTGTGTTTGATGGATGGGGGGAAGGGATTGTTGTGTTTGATGGATGGGAGGGAAGGGATTGTTGTTTTTCATGTATGAGGGAAGGGATTGGTTGTGTTTGATGGATGGGGGGAAGGGATTGGTTGTGTTCGATGGTTGGGAAGGAAGAGATTGTTGTTTTTGATGTATGAGTGAAGGAATTGGTTGTGTTTGATGGATGGGGAGAAGGGATTGGTTGTGTTTGATGGATGGGAGGGAAGGGATTGTTGTTTTTGATGTATGAGGGAAGGGATTGGTTGTGTTTGATGGAGGGGAGGGAAGGGATTGGTTGATTTATGTGAGGGAAGGGATTGGTTTATGTATGGGGGGAAGGGATTGGTTGATGTGTGGGAGTGAAAGAATGCAGGAGCATTTATTACCCTCTTGGGTTGTGCTTGGTGTACAGTAAGTCTGTTTACTCCATTCAACTCGATTGTGTCTTTATGTGTGTGTATCTTTACGGACCACGCATTCGTCACAGTCTCAACACACTTGGAGATATGACAGTATGACTTGACCCATAACACTGTATTACATCTATGATCGTGTCTATTTTATGGTCTATAGCCAACGGAGGACATTTTACGTTTCATAGCTTTGTCCACACACGCCAACAGATGACATGTCACGTTTCATAACTTTGCCCACACAACAAGCCAACACATGTCACGTCTTCATGACGATAAATGATTCTGCATATTATGTAATTCGGTGTGTCAGTAGGCCCTCTATATTACATTCACTTTTTGGGACCGAGCTATTGCTCTTTAATGGCCCCTGGCAAGTACGCTACAGGCCTGCCGGTGTGCCACTCAATAGTTATCATACTCAGACGACGACATGACGGTGCATGGCGCTTAAAAAACAACTACAGATCAGGACATTTCAATAGGACAATACATAATATCAATGAAAGAGGAGAGCAGTAAAAAGTAGGCTTAAATACAAACGCAACAAACAAGAGAAATATTTTTTTTTTAAATAAGAACGAAATAAACTCAAGTGAACTTTGTTTTGTATTAATTATAGTTTAGTTGTATTACTTGACAAAAACTTCGCCATACAAGTATTCCATTGATTTTTTTTTAAATTTATTATCTTTTTTTAAAATAAATAAAATGTTATCCACGTAAATTTCTTTATTTAAAGTTTTTGAGAATTGAGGAAGGAAATTGTTGCATTTTCTCCTTTGGGTGTAAGCCCACTCCAGACATAGTTTGTGAGAAATACTCCTTTTTATAATGTCCGCCACTTGTAACTGTTTGAATTGAAATTGTTTTAACATGCTTGTACTACGTCACAGATTTAAGAAACGCTTGTTTATTAAACCCGGAAGTGAGACAAATAACAAGAAGACATTCTTTTTAGGTTAGAAAAATTGAAATGAGGGGGGGGGGGGGGGGGGGGGGGGGACAAGAAAAAAACCTTAAAAC